CTCACAACAGATCCAAAATTAGGAACTGACTCAAAACTGAATGATCTCTGCTGGGCTTATTTTTCCAGGCTCACTGAAGGCATTGCCAGAGCGAGGGACAAGAGAGTGAGTAGGAGCAGGACAGCAAATGGGGCACAGAAGGCAGAGAGGAGGTGGGTGCAGGTTTCCCACAGACAAGGGAAGTGGGGCAGGAGGGGGAACCTAGAGAACTGCTGCCCTTTGCTGAAAAAAATGCCACTAGGTTGCAACGAGTATTATAACCCTCACCTGCGTTTAGTGAGCTGTCCTGAGATGGGGCACCCAGCAGAGAGGAGGCACTTTTTGAGAAGCACGTTGATTTTCAGCACTGCTTGTAGCAGGGGGTGATCCAGTCCAAACTGGGCACTTGGGCTGGAGCGTAGGTGGAGCAGCTTTGGGCTGGCTGCCTTTCCTATGCCCAAGGGCAAAAATGCCCCCATTCTCAAGAAGAACAATTCAGGACCTCAGCCTAGAAGGGTCTGTCCTCAATGTTTTGTTCAAAGAAGCCTCATAGAACTTCTGGGACAACTGTCTGATGGCACCAGGGCATCTTCTGTCCCCAGCTGGTACCAGTGCACCCCCTTGCCACCACCACAGCCCTTCCTCATGCAGAGAGGCTGGGTCAGAGCAGCGAGGAGGTGGCAGAGCAGGCACCCTGATACCCAAAGTTTGAAGATAAAAGCCATGCCCAGCCCAGCGAGGCACCAGCAGCCCCAAAGCAACCTGTGCACCCACCTCCTGGTAGTGTCATGTACCCCCCCTTTGCCTTAAGCACACCAGGTAATGTTAACAGCAGCTCTGCAGTGGGCTGAGCACCCGGCTGCCACCTACCACAGACCAGAGTGTCCCATGGGCCCTCAAAGATAAAAAAGAGAAGATGCCATAACGTTGCCAAAGAGCCAGAGACACCCATTTGCAGGAAGAACTCAAACCACACTGCAAGGGGATGAGAGGAACAGCATCACCAAGAAGAAAACTCACAGTTTCTGTAGGAAAAGAAGGAACCTACACCCTCCACGGGCGTCCCGGCAGGCCCTGTGGGATTTGGGAAGGCACAGATTGCTGAAGAAAACATCCACTTTTGCTACCCAGACACTGCACTGTGGAACCAGCACTAAAGTGCCATCCAACAACCCGTCCCCTGGAGGATAACAAAGAACTATCTCCTCTCAGCCACAGCATGAAAGACAACGAAAAGAAGGAAAAATGAAGGAAACACAGAGTCAGACTAAAGTAAAGCCTAGCCCAGCCTCTGTAAACAAGGTTGTTGCAAAGGATAAGACTGAAAATTACTGTAATGTGCTTTTACAGACTTTGCAAATAATAGAAAGTGATGATTAAATGAAAAAGAAATCAAAAACCGGGAGGATGGGTCTCTGCAGTGGGTACCGGCAGGAAGAGAGAGCCCCTCACTGCCCCCTGCACGGCTCTGAAGGAGAAACCAACCCACAAACTGGGTGCAACGGCAGATACAGATGCCCCACAGGGCTGAGCATGTAGTGGGCACCCAACCCATGCTCGGTGAAAGGGCCAGTCCCAGTGCAAACCCCTGGAATGAGGTCCCCACATACCGTGACTGCAGGGGAGCAGGGAAGGCTGAGAGGCAGCAATTTTCTGCCCAAATCCAGCCACAGAGCTCCAGTTTTTCTGCTGGGGCTCGCAGGGACGTGCAGGCATGAGCCCTGCAAATGCTAGAGCAGCCAAATGCAAGGGGCAGAGCTCAGCACCCTCACCTGCAGCCCAGGGCACCACCACACACAGGCATCACCCAAGGACAAGGCAGAACAAGGGGAGCCCCGGTAGCTGGAGAGCAAACAAGGGTGCGGGGCAGGATGCTCTCAGGGCTACAACCAGGGTCCAAGGCAAAGCTGGTTATGTCCCTCCCCATCAACCATCCCCCTTCTAAAGAAATGCCATGGAATAAAGCAGTGGTAGAGACAGGAGAGATCCAGGGAACAGCACGGCGCTGCACACCGTGTCCACCTCCCACCTCAGGCAAGGAGTCTTGGTGGGACTCACACCCACCTCATCTTTGCAGGTAATTGTTCAAAAAAGCAGATCACCCAAAATGGTCCGTGCCTTGGGGTATGTACGGACTTATCTGCAGAGAAGTGTCATCTCTTATAAACCCAAACACAGTTGCATAACCACATAGTTAAAAGATAATGACACAAAGTCATACGCCCTTGTATTCTTACATACAAATACTGTTTAGCGACCTGATGTCGACAGATCACAAGGCTCACCATGCTATTTCTTCTTCAATCTGGTTTTTTTTTTTACTTTTCAAGTGTGGGCTTTCAAATATAAAAAAATAATAATTTGAAAAATACGTAATTATACTTTAAAAGGAATAACACCAGATCAAATCCCACCTAAAGTCCAGTTTTGCTTCAAAGCTTCCATGAACAGCTCAATCCTTCTAACGAAATAAAGTCCAGGGGCAGCAAAAGGACTTTCAAACAAACAAACAAACAAACATTCCTCCACAATATTTGCAACCAAATTTTATTACTATGGGCTAGTGGTTAAAAGCACGAAAATAAAATTTGCTAGGAAAAAAGCCTGCTAGCTCAATATCATTTTCAAAGTGCAAAAACCCAAAAAGCTGATCAGACAATATACACAACAAACAGTATATTATGACCCCATTCTGAGAATCCTTACACACAAGCAGGGAGCTATGTTTTTTTCAAATATTATATTGGATTTTAAATAATGAAAATATCATATTATTTGATACAGAGCTAGGAAAAATAGGATATTAGCTGTTATTTTTAACCCACTGACAGCCTTTTCTTTTTTTTTTTCCTTTTTTTTTTTCCTAGAGACCTGCTAGGTTCTTTTGAAAGAGTTTTAAAATTGACCTTGTTTCAGTAGCCACTTCTCTGTCCTAGGTATGAAATCACCATATCGTATTATAAAGTGTCAATGCACCAAAAAGCAAAGTGCTTTTTTTTTTTTTAATTATTTTTTTTTTTTAGGCAGGAACAAAGCCGGCTCTTTTTACCTATGAAACAGCACATACTTTTGCTTTCCCAAGCCCACCAATTTCAACATCGCACTATTAAGCAACCAGCATTTCATCCAGAGACCAAGCCTCGCTCCCTCTGACCCCCACCTCACGGGAGCAAAGAGGTGGTACAGAAGTGAGTACAGAATCTGGGCCAGTTTATTCAGATTTCAGTGGGCTCTACCCTGTCAACATTTTCAGGGATTTGATCCAAGAGCAGCAGAACCACCCTTTGGCCTTGAACACAAACAAACACAGTATCAGTACAGGGAAACCGTCTGAGAGTCTTGTTTCCATTTCCCCCTGCTCTGTGATACCCAAAGCCAGAGAAGCAATTTATTTTCAGCGTTTGAAAACTGATGTTCCAGGATCACGATCTCCAACCCTGATAATTGTTTGCTGCGAATGCTCCTTACCCGGCACTCATGAAAGAGGTGGAGAGCATCCACCAGCCTAATAAGGGAAAACCTGGCAAAGCCCAGGCTCTGTCTGAGCTGGGCACGAGATCTACAAGTACAGAGACTGCAGGCTTCAGCCATTCTCTGAACGTTAGGTACTCTGAGGAGACAGGATCCCAAAGAAGCAGTCATCATCTAGGATTTCCTTGGTGGCATGCAAGGCTATGGCACTGGCTGTCTTTGCAACGCATGGTACTACAACAGCACAGCTATTTTAACACATGGTATTTTAACCCATGGTATTTTAACCCCAATAGCAGGGATTGAGAGGCGCATCTCCCCATTTATTTCCTCAGGCCATGCAAGCAAGCTCTGGAGAACCAGAGCTCTGGTGGAGCCCATCCTCCTCAGCCCTCACAGGTCCATAGGCTTCCCTGAGATGCACTGTGCTGTCTTATGAAGTTATGTCTGAACTCCGAGCCTGCCTCTCCCTGCTGCTATCTACACCGTCATGCCTGTAACCGGTCCTGTTCATGCATAAAATGAGGTTAGAAGAAAACACAACACAGACCTCCCTAGATTGTGAGGGATGTTACAACTGTCAGAAATAAAATAAATGAAAAAAAAAAAAAAAAAAAGAGAGGCATCCACAGCATCCCTCTTTCCCCTGCTGGCACCGTGAGGGGCCGCAGGAGCCTGGGTGCCACGGGATGTGCTCCCAGGACGCTCCACAAGACACGCTGGGTGCTGGCAGCCCTGGGCCTGGGCGAGCTGCTGGAGCTGGGCAGGAAGGGCAGCCGTGGCTGCAGCACTTGGTCCCAGAAGGCCTGTGCACAGCCCTTTGGGAGCCACATTTTAAATGAGGAAAGTGCTAGTTTTAGCACAGTTATTTTTAGTTTGTTGTTAGAAAAAAAAAACAAAACGTGGCTCTGGAAAGAGGGGTGTTACCCTGCCTGGCTGAAGGGACTCGGGCAGGACTCCTCGGGCATCTCGGCTGCACCTTCACACACATCCCCGAGCAAAGCCCCGGTGGCAACGGGCAGGGAGGGCTGTGGTCTCGGTAAGAAAAACGGGAAGACAGGGCTTGGGTAGGAGGGAGTCGAAAGAGAACGTTTTAAGGTACCAGCGGTTTAAAAGAGCTGCGGCTCCTGAGGCACCCGAGCGCTGTAACGGAAGGGGATGCTGAAGCCCTGCTGCTGCCGGAGCCGGTGCCGGAGCCCCGGGTACCACCGGCGGAGCGCCCCGGCAGCGGCATCGCATCTCCGCCTTCCCCCGCCCTCCATCACCGGCCCGACCCGACGCTCCCGCCCCGGCTCCAACCGGGGGGGAAGGGGGACGGGGGGACGCACCCCGGGGATACCGGGGGCTGTTCGACCCCGCGGTGGCGACGACCCTGCCCGCGGTCCCGGGGCGGCGGGGGGACAGGGCCGAGCCC